TTTTTTTTTTTTTTACAGAGTCACTTTCCAGCTGTGAACCGTTCCTATGCAAACACACACAGCTGAGGGTTTTCAGAAATCAGACAACCCTGGAAAAGTTGACAGCGCTACAGTTTGGCACACATGCTCACAGGCAACGTCAGTAATTGTAACAATTTAAATTCTCCCAAAAGCTCAGTTGAAGTGAAACCACTTGAGGGGAAAGTGGGGGTTAGAAAGTCAAAAGGCATAAATGGCCGGGGGCAGCGTTGACTGTCCACTGCGATTTGGAGTCTGCCTCCAAAACAGCTTTCTAATTGGCTAGTCAAAGTATGAAGTCACAGTGAGTGGAAGCAGTTGTACGGACTATCAAGTACGCACACAAACCCACACAATGAACAGAAATGAGCCTGCTGATGTACAAACACTTGACAAGCACATGTTGAGCTGCTGAGCTGCTGTGAGGCGAAAATCCTCATTTACCACAGTCATTCAATTAGAATAAATTTTTGCAGATTTCGTGCTAATCTTCAGAAAAATGTGCCTCATAAACACATCCATGATGGGGAAAATATACATGACAAATCCCTCTCAAACCTCTCAGTTGACACACACGATGTTGAAGTCGTCACTGCCAGGCAAGGCTTTGCAAGAAACACTGATCTGGTACAACTGGTGAAAAACAGTAAAGTACTCAAGAACTGTGTCCAAATGTTATTTTGAGCATTTCCATTGGATGCTGCTGCACAGTTGTACTTCAGTTTATTTCAGTTCATGTACTTTTTCATCACACATATACGAGGGAACTTCAAAGAGTTCTCAGCCTCACCCTGAGACAAGGGGCGTAACTCCCATTTTGGGGCATATCTGTATACTACAAAGCCTTGTATCACTGTCCACAAAAACTCAAATGTTTGAAGCAATCAAAGGGAGAAAAAAAAGGAGATGAAAGGTTTGAGGTGGCTGCTGTTGCTCCAGGACAATGCATCTGTCCACGCAGCACAGGTGGCAGAATCAGCCAAATGTGGCTTTAAACTGTTGCCCCGTGAATCTTACTCACCCGACTCACATCTGTTTCCAAAACTAAAAACCCACTTGCATCGTTGCCATTTTCATAGTGGTGACGAAGTCATTCATGCTGTTGAGGAGAATCTGGAGGCTCAAGATGTGACCTTCTTCCACAAAGGGAAAGCTTGAACACTGGTGGAACAGGTGCAGTGAAGTTAAAGGAGACTTTGTTGAGAAATAATGCGAGAACAATCTTTCTCCTGCAACGTTTTCTGGTGAGGCTGAGAACTTTTTTGACGTACCCTTGTATTCATCAACTACAGTTACTTCTTCCACTGCAGATTAACATCTTACTCCTCATTTGTTAATACATTACAAGCCTGTCATTTAATTTACCAACAAGTACAGACAGCATGTCATTTTTCTTACTATCTGTACACCTATCAATGATTTCTACATCTTTCTAGTTTTGCTCAAGTAAAGAATCTGAATGCTTCCTCTACAGCCGTATGACAAAGAAACAATGCTCACTTTCTTTATATGCAGAACGTTCTTGAACAGCAATAAAATCTGTTATGAGTATTAGCAGAGTGAAGGGAAAGTCTGTGCGGATGAAATAATCAAGACAATAACATTATTTTTACCCATTTTAATGATCCTTTTACTCTCGGTAGCGCAGTACTTCCCCGTCAGCCTTGGACCGTGCAGCATTCCTTACTCCAGCTGAGAACTGTCAGACCATGCGCTGCACACACACTCCCACAGATTCACATACAAATACACCGACAGTCCTGCCTGCGTGTGCATGCAGCTGTTAGTTCACATGCCAACACCTACGTACCCTGCTGCACTGACCAAACAGTCTTTTTAAAGCTAAAAAGGATGACTAAGTCGTCTGCCGGGGAGACAGACGAGCCATAACCGAGGTGTGAAACAAGTGGGAGACTCAGGTCACAGTCGGTTCAGCTGGACGGTACACTCGTAACGGTAACATTGACAAACAACATCAAAGATATCGACAGAAATCTGCAGGCTTTCAACAATATTAGTGCTCCTCCACGTTATTTTATTGCTTATGAGTAAAGACGCTTTTTATTAGGTGCATGAATACCTAATAAAGATGCCAAAGTCCCAATCCCTCTCGCTCTGTTTGCGCAGTCTGTGCTGCACTATTCTTCCACTGCAAATGTTTCCACCTCGTTCTCAGACATTTAGCTCAGCTGAGGCAGTGTCTCTGGTGACCTTTATTCCACACATGTCAGCCTCATCAGACCTTTCCAGCTCTGGTAGACATGATTGGCTGAGAACAGTAAAGGAGTTGGATTTTACAGTGTAATGGACAATGTCGCTCACATGTGCGCACATTCCCAGGCCTCAAGTTGAAACAGAACCACCGCAGACCAAAGCCTTACCCCGTACCCGTCTTTAACCTTTAAACTACTGGAAAACTGAAAAAACAAGCCCACTCTCATTGTCCAACTCAGTAGCTGGTCCTTACAAAGATACTCACAAGAGCACATCCATCCAACACACACAGTGAACAGCTATTGATCAGCTTCTCGTGTCTGACTTTGAGTTTACAAACAGATAGTGTGATCTGTGATGCTATCGGGGATTTAATTTTATCAGCCAGCAGAGTACAGTGATTTTATTTACTACTGCAATATTCTAAAGCTGCTCTATATGAATACAATGCGCGCTCTGTTTTCAAACACTCACTCACGTACAACACCACAGGCCTCATGTCCCTGGCTGCCCGAGGGCAGTGGAAGACGGATAACTTGCCAAGAGGAACAATAAAAACTATCAGCATGGGACAGTAAGCCCAGTATGGCATTTACTGCATACACTGCTGCCCTTGTACTGAGTAAAAGCATCGGTATTTAACAACAAGTTCATACTTTGAAGAAATAGGGGTCAATAATTTACTAATGAGTTGTACCACACTGTTGTTGTAACAGTAATTAGATTAGGTACAAATAACTAAGCTTATGTTTTGCTCATGCTACGGATCAGTCAAATGACGTGCAGTCACACTTGTAGTATTATTTATTAAAATTATTTATTTAAAGGGCTGAAGACAGGAATGCCAGCTAACTCTGCTATCAATATAGATTCCATATGAAAGATGGTGTAGTCACATTGATACCTGAAGTTCGGAATCGATATTTTATTCGTTTGAAACTGGATGTAATTAGAGAGGAGTGAATCTTAGTGAGAGCTCATGGGGGACTGCACATACAGTAGCCACCTGTAAGGCAGCCCAGCTGTGGAACATTCTCTGCTTTATTGTCATTTTTTCTCTAAATGGGATCACAATCCACAAAATGAACATCAGGCTTTTTTCAAAAAGTCTTAAAATTAGTGATTAAGACCAAAAACTTATTTGGAAAATGTCTACTGAGGTGACAAATCAAGTGAGATTAGGTTCACATTCTCATAGGCTTCGATACAATTGGATTCCTTTTTGCAACCAGAGGAGTCGCCCTCTGCTGACATTTAGGAAAAATGCAAGTATAAGCCACTTCTGGGTTGGCTCCACTTTTCAGAGGCTACTCTGAAAAATGAACAGAAACTACATCTATCTTTTATATATAGTCTATGGCTGCCAATTAGCCCAACTGGTCAGCTGTGGTACTGCAACCAAAATCTCTTGCAGCCCCAAAAAACTATTTCTTCCCCATGAATCTCCATTGAAGAACAGAAAAACTGTAAAACTGTTGACGGGGCAACTTCTACTGCAAACAAGGTCAATTATTATTTGTTATTTTGCTAAAAATGTCCAAAATCCTAGAGTAGTTGTTGTTATGCGTAATGCCATCTCAGTGTAAAGTATACAGACTGAGCTGGCAGAAGGATGTACAGAGCAAACTCAGGAAGCAAGAAAACCTTTTTGGCTTATGCACTTGTTGAATAACAGTCTTTCAAATGAATGAGTGCTATTATAGAATCCAGTATTAAGCATTAGGATATATAGCATTAGCAAACAAAGTTATGTAGGTCAAGTAAGACGATGTTGGTTAAAATAGAGCTGTTAAAAGGAGGCAAGGTGTTAAGGGCTGGGGTCATATAGTTTGTAGACCTGTAAACCTGCTCTTTACAGGTTCTCCAATTGTACAACAATGTCCACGACTTTTTGCTGTCATAATTTCTAAAACATGAGGTTACTCATCAGAAAACAACAAACAAACGCTTTTTTTGAACATTAAACCTAATTTGAAACACTTTTGTTTTTTGGTGAGGCTAGTCTGGAAGCCATTGAAGTGTGATAAGTACAAAAGAAACAGACATAATTAATATAAATACTTATAAACAGAATTAACGATTTAAACACACACACGGAAGCAAAACTGGAACTTGGCATGATGCCCCCACAATGCTTGCCAACAGACATTTTGGGGATGCCAGAAACTAATTTTGGCCACCACACGGTGCCAGTTGGCCTAATAATAGCCGGCATCGGGAGTCTATTTGTGCTATGAGGTAATATGATGAATGTGAAGTATTCAGCTCATGACTGCAGTTTGTTTGGCTAGCACAAATTAACGGGAGGAAACTTTGCACACCACAGGAGAGGTACTGTAGATCACTATCTTTCCTGGGGGGAAAAAAAAAAAAACTGAGACATCCCACGTCTGTCTGCCAAGTAAGACAGTCTGTCAGCATTACAGCCTGTCAGCATGTGTTTTACACTCATAATGCTCTTGACCTCTTGATCTTGGCCACAGATCACTAAGGTAAATCCTTGCTACTTTACAGAAGCTAAAAATATACATCACAGAAGGAGATACTGATATTTTATGTAATAAAACATAGATGATAAAAATTTGACACTGTTATTGAAGCAGTCGTTGTGATGATGGAAGCCATAATCATTTAAATGCAGCGGTTTCTAGAGCGGCTTAAAATTATATGACGCACAAATAAAACTTTCCTGTTGTATAATGAGCAAAACATCCGCAACCTATACTATTTTGCAGAGCAGCAGAGTATAAATCAAATGAGTCTCTTACCATTTTTCTCCCCCGGCTGCCACATGTTGCTGGACCGTGTATCCGAACTGTGCTTGTTTCGGGCCTTTGATGATCCTGTGTCTCTTTGTGTCGATGTTAAAGCAGTCAAAGAATCCTTGAAAGGGAAAAGACGATTTTCATTAGCAGTGGCATAAGAAGAACATTAAATTTCTGCCAATATTGAAGTGAATCATTTTAAAATGGTAGTATCTCAGCAGTTTTTTTTATGGATGCCTGTGCTGAATTAGACCATCTGGTCCTAAGTGCAACAAAGAGCAACAAAGTCAACCTTACTCATCCTTTAAATAATCCCTGAACTGTCTCCGTTCGTCCTCCAGCCTCAGCCTAAACACAGACTTCCTTCATGAGGAAACAAATATTAATGAGATAAACGGAGCTGTCGGTCACATTCGTCTTTCCATCAGGCAGACCCAGAGGAGCTTTGGTTAAACAGCTTCGTGTCAACATGACCACCTACACGGCCTCGGCTCATCCTCAACTCCAACAAAGGAGTCTAAGTTTAGGTCAAAGGTGTAAAATCAGTTTTTAAACAATCCAGTGGCGAGGGAGCTGAAAAGGCTCAAGACATTTCCTTTCCGACAGACTGCACTGTTTGTTCGTAATATTTCGCAACGGAGGCCACTCATCTGTTTTGATAATAGACGGTGAAGTGTGACCTGATGTAGTAAGAGGGGAAGAAGCTAAAACTGCTGCGGGACCTGATCAAAGCTGTTTTCCCGACTGTGCACTTAAATTTCTCTCACATCTTTAGACGTCTTACAGAGGTGGGAGAGGAGAGCAGCGGATTTCTGTTTTCAGTTAAAATACCAATCAGAGAAGGTATTTTTCTGCATCTGCTTGTCACTGACTTAGCTATTGTGGCTTATTAATGGTGACAGCATCATTTGGCTTTTAAATTACCATCAAAAGAGGAGGAACTCTGTGTGAGGACATGGAGGTGATGAAATCTTACTTCTGGCAATGGAGAGGGGGGAAAAAATGAATTGGTCTCCCAGTCTGACTTCCTCACGATTCATGTCTCTCCGTTCATCTGTCTTCTACATAATCTCCTGCTGATGTCTGTTTCACTAGTTGCCAGACCTACCCTAAGTGTGTGACCGGCGCTGCTGCTGCGTTGATGTTTCAGCTACTGTAAGTTCATCTTTAAACTACAGCTTACTGATACTCTAAATAGCTAAATATACCAACTCACATTTCAGAACCTAAAAAAAAAAATGCACCAAGAAAAGAAAACGGGAGGGAAATTAACACTTGCTGCTTAATAAGACACAGAGGTTTGTTTTGCAGGAGTTGAACATTATTGCTTATAATTAACGTATTTTCTCACAGTTTGAGCTGCACGGCTGAGCTGAGAGCGCAAAGGCTTCTGCTTTTAACCACCACAGACTTGCCCACTTCTTACATCTCTGCGGCTCTGGTCCGCACACTGCTGGGTATATGCAATCCCACACTAAATAATCCCACTAATATGGAACTCTCCATCTGTGAAACTCTGGGGTTAAGTGAGCCTGTTTTCCATTCTCAGGGGGGAAAACTGGTTAAATGTAAACCATGAGGTGAATAAATGCTCAAAGATGGACAGATGTAAAATTCTAATTAATCCACAACAGCTGAGTGCAAATCCAAGCCAGTTGTACCAAGCGTGGTCTCATAATGATGTGAATCATTAATAAAGCCTTGGGTTTTTTTCATCAGTTTACAGGTTTTTATTGGCAAGAAACTGCTTCTACAAGCCTACAGAGGACAACTATATGATTGCACAGGTGATAACTTGTGCCATTACTGACTTTTATGCAGAGAAAACATAGAAAGAAAACATTGCCATCCTATAATCCTATCAATTCTGAGAACAGAGTCTCTCTTGACTTGCTTTAAATACAGTAGAACGGTCAACATTTCCATTACTGTGAACAGCAAAGTGAGTAAAAGATGACCCAAATTCCAAAATACATAAAGTTTTTATTTCCATCATTTACAGTTTCAAAAAAAACAAAAAAGAAAAAGGGGGCGTGAAGTAAAAGTTTGGGCACCCTGCATGGTCAGTGCTCAGCAACACCCCCTTTGGCAAGTATCACAGCTTGTAAATGCTTTTTGTAGCCAGCTCAGAGGCTTTCCATTCTTGCTTGGGGAATATTTGCATTCTTCCTCGCAAAAGGCTTCTAGTTCTGTCAGATTCTTGGGCAGTCTTGAATGCGCTGCTCTTTGGAGGTCTATCCGCAGAGTTCTGATGATGTTTAGGTGGGGGGGGGACTGTGAGGGCCATGGCAGAACCTACAGCTAGCGTCTCCTGAGGTAGTCCATTATGATTGTTTGAGGTGTGAGTAGGATAATCATCCTGTTGTGGAAGCCATCCTCTTTTCATCATCGGTTTCTTTGTGTGATAGTTGCATCCAGAATTTGCTGGCACTTAATTTAATCTATTCTTCCATTTAGCAGGGAAAAGTTCCCTGTGGCCCTGGCTGCAACACAAGCCCAACGCATGATCTATCCAACCCCTCAGTTCAACATCCGTAGAGGCTTTCTTTTCATGAAATTCTGCACCCTTTTTTCCACGAATGTATCTTTGCTTACTGCGGCCAAACAGCTTTGTTTTAGCTTCATCAGTCCACAAACTTGTTTCCAAACTACCTCCAGCTTGTGTAGATATAAATGTGCAAACATCTGACACATGACTACATTACCCACTGAGCAAACAGTGACCTGCAATCACTGTCTTATCTCATTAAAGCCTTCTCCACTTGTGGGAATGCAGTATTTTAATTATTAGAGTGCTAGACAGCCCATAGCTGCAGGTTGTTGGGACAAGGTTTAAGGAGTGAGGGAATTTATAAGGCTTTAAAATTCACATCACTTGGGCTTTGCTAATGATGACTGTGAGCAAGCCACAGCCCTAACAAGCTAATGAAGACCTTAGAAGTAAAAGTCATGATTGAATCTCCTTGGGTGCCCAGACATTTACATGGTGCTCCTATCCTCTTGTTCAGTTTTCACAAAGAAAAAAAACACACTTATCTTTCTTAAAATGTTGAAAATAACTTTGAATTTTGACCTTTATGTTATTGGAAGACCATTTAATCTTCACTTAACTTTTCATATAACTGAGTTTTTGACTAGTGGTGCCTCAAACTTTCACACGCTACTATAGCAGCCTCACTGATGTCAATGTTTTCCAGCAACTGATCAGATATCACTGTATGTACCAGTTTTCCATGTAAATCTACAGTTGAGTCTTTTCAACACACCTCAGATGAAGTGTTTGCTGTTCTTCTTGGTCCATTTGAACAATAACTATCAAGGTTTGGCACTGTCCACGAGATGGATGCCCTGAAAAACCTGATGGCACAGGTACAGTAGTAATTTTAAGCTTTACTTTTGAGTCCTCGGTTGATCTGATGTTTTCAGAAATTACATATTTTTTCGTTCAATGTCAACGTTTTGGTTTTGACCTGAAACAAATACAAGAGTTTGTGGTTTCATTCCCTCATTCAAGGGCAACATTAGTTGTTTTGCTGGCCTTGAGCAATTTTTTGCTCGTCAAGAATCTCAAATATTTCTCCACCTTTGCTAAACTGTTTACAGTAAGTCACTGATTTCACCAATTTACGGTTTAGAAATCCCGGCCAATAGCCTCTCACCTCCCCGCAGGCCTACATCAGTGAGCCGTTTAACATCTCAGCTGAAAGTGACTCCCAATGTGCACCTATAATGTTAGCTGCAATCTTAATGTCAACATCACTTCACTGAACACCAGTGCAGCTGTGGTGCACAGATTAGTTTATAATGGACAATAAATAGTACTTATCCACCTTTTTGTGGTTTGTACAGTTTTTAAAGTAAAGCATATGACCACTGTCACTGTTAAATGATGTCACTCTGTGAAGGAAGCACTTCCAGCTCGCTAGCTCCAGACATGACTTGTGTTTTTCTGCAAAATAAATAAACCAATATTGGGCTCAAAGATTCTGCAGTCTTGTTGATTATGTTGTGCTGTAATTTCTACATTTTATTTAGTTGTCAAACAACATTACAATGATTGGGTAGTTCAACTGAAAATTGTGTTTTACAGCACTGAAAATGAAGCAGGGCATCATGACAAAAGTACGGCATGCCCTCTTAATCCCAAATCCTGTAGAAATACAGGGTGGAATTTCAACTTAGCTTCAATTTGTTGCACAGCAGACGCGTTGTATTTGTTTGGGCGTGCAACTGTTTGTGCTCTGAGATGCAGAGGAGAGGCTGCACATTGAGCAGCTGTTTCCTTGAAGAAAAATGGCTCCTCAACAGAAATGTCAAGTTGTCTGCATTCCTTAGATAGTGAATATTTAGGAGTGTTACTATATGGCCTAAACAAACAGCCTGAACCAAACATCTACTCCTGATGTTCATAAGCAAACATCTGTAAATCTGGAACAAAAAACTGAGGGTTGTGTGACAACAGACGCTGTCAAAATCATCAAGACCACAATTTTACCACGGCCGTTATGAGATTCGATTGCCAGCGACGGAATGAATAAGTCATTCATTTTCTTTCTGTCAAGTGACCACGAGTTTATCACACCTTGATTGGCACGACCATAGAACACTTGTTCTGTTGCATGAAAACCTCCATGAAAGCAAATGGCCATTTCTGCCATGCAGACTCGTCATGTAAATATTGACACGTTCTCCACATTGCTCATTTCCTGTTGTATGAATGGTTCACATGTTCAGCTGGTCTTTCATCCTGCCCCCAAACATCCTCCTAAAGGTTCTGTTTATCTGGAGAACATAAAAGGGGTGACTGAAAATAGATTGTTTGAAACAGATAGGTGTATGAAAAATAAATACAAATCAGCAGGATACTCTTGACAGTATACTGTAGCATAAATCACTTTACAAATGAAGGGCAGTGGGCAGCATCACTTTGACGTCTGTCCATTGTTCATTTCAGTTTGATTTCATGCCAGGTTGCCTGTTTTAAGCTTGGAAAATAAACATCCCAGTCATACAAAGGCTGAAAGTGTGACCAACAAATGAGCAACATCTGCGATTACCTTTACTGGTTTTGTAGGACAGGGACAGGGGAGATGTGTCAGGGTGAAAGCATGAGAATGGAGGTCATCCAGTTTCCATTTTAAAGCTACTAATGTGGCAGAGCAATTTAATATTCTCAGTAATATCAGCAGCTTCTAACGCAAGGTCGGAGCCTTGCTGGGTTTCCTGTGTACCGGCCTCCATGCCCAGATAAATAAACCTCAGGCCGGTGGCTGCCGGTGAAACCCACATTAGTCCGCTGCTGCCTTTGGCCCACGACCAAGCCGCTGGAGCTCCACCACAGACCCACTGACATAGAGCAGCCGTGAGGGTGCGTTGTGCAAACTGCTGGCTCAGAGATATCCTCATATCAGAAACCCATAGAGTTTAATAAGGTAGGAGTCATGAAAACTATGTGCATGGTGATGCTTCCTCTCCTTTATTGTTTTTAAGTTCAATATCCCCTCTGATATGTTCATGTGAGCCTATGGACACCACATCTGACTGGTATTATTGGCCCAGTAGCACCAGTTTTGACAAATATGGCTCTAAATCTCACATGCACCAGAATGTAATGATTTTCCATTGATCCACGCTGGGTTTCCATTCCAATGATTTTCTCTGGAAAGATACATTATTTCACAGTGGACAATATACTTTCAAACATTTTGGCACCTCATATCACTATTACCCAATGCCAAAGTAAATTCTCTGGGAGGCACGGGATATCTAAAACCAGATGTTCCCAGTGCACGACGGCCAACTGGGCACTGCTTAACAAGCTGTTAACCCTCTGAGCTAACAAAAAGCCCTCAGGGGATTCAAACTAAGTCTCCGTGGCAGTACGATGCAGCACCAGCTATCACACACAACCACGTGACGCTGTCAGAGTTAGTCAGCTCAAAGTCTGTCATTTCACAAATAACATAGTAATGACTTATTCAGATGTAGAGCATTACTTGCTTTTGGCCAGAGTAACATTAACTAACTGTGTGACTAACACTTCACTAGTCTGTAAATGTAAATATAGTACCACAGAATTACTCATGATGAATGAGTGGGTATTTTCGAACAATCACTTGCTTTAATAACTTACTTAACTACGTTTGGCAGCTAACACCATGTTTACTGTCAGTGAATTTCAACAGAAAGAACAACAGAGCAATAAAAATAGCAAATTTACAGTTTAATTCAGTCTCACTGCTCTCATCAATTACATTCTTACCAGAAGAAAACAGTCTTCCTCTCTAAAGACAGAAATGACTGATATAGTTGTTTTAGCAAATGTTCCAGAACAACATAGATCAATGTTTAAATTACTAAAACCCTCTGGTGGCTGCAGAAATGATGAATTCCGTCCACTGATTCTGCATGGGGAGGAGGTCAGGGTGGTTAGAGGGTTCAACAAAACGTTTGACTCCAACCTGGGAAATAAAAGTTTGTTACCCAAATCCTACTGACTTTGCTTTACACTCTAAGTAAACCAAATCCAAACTTAACCATACCTGACCACCTCTTGTTTCTAGGCAATGTCCTTTGTTATTGCTGCCACCAGTGCCAATAGACGAATATGAGTTTTCAAGTTTAAAATGTCCATGTAAGGTAGTTGCAGGGTGGTGGTCAAGTACATCACAGGACTGTTACTGTTCGTGTCTTGTGTTGGACGATTTTCACTTAGTTGTTTCACTTGCTGGTTGAGTTTAAGTCTTACGTACAGTCTTTCACTTTTAGCACATGCTACAAGGCAAACTTCTCGTTGCTTGAAAAGAAGTGAAGGTAATGACACCAGCAGAGCATATCCAACATCTATTTCTGACATTGTTGGAATTTCATAGGTCTATTGGACACTCTGCATGTTTAAGGAGTGTTTAAAGGGACCCTGAGCGATAAAATGTGACGCTAAAAGGTCCTGAAAAGTCTTACGTATAAAAAAAGCTGGAAATAAGGCTGGACTTTTACGCCTGAACCATTTCCTTATTCTATAATGAAACTTATTCATTTTTTAACTGTGATTTGGGTGGCAGAAAAAAAAAATTCTTTCTGTGATGTGGATCAGATCATAAATCAAGTGCATGTGTTTTTCTGGAAGAAAGTTACAAACTATGTATTAAGTTGCTTAATCTAAGAAACATTTATGTGCAAACAAACCAGTTCAGTGACTCTATGCCTGCAACAACAACAACAAAATGACAGGAGAATAAATGCAGCAACTAGCTAGTGAAGACAAAGGAAAATTTAATGTATAAATTAGAATTATTTCAAACTGTTGCTGATGTTGTTCCATGTTAGCAACTGTATAAGATGCTATTTTAGCCTAATGGTTACAGCCCTTCCAACAAAACTAATCTCCAAGTTTTGAATCTCAGCTGACTGGCATCTTCTTAAATGTCAAAAGAAATAAAACTATTTATTGGAAGAAAATGTCTGTCTGCTTGTTCTGGGGTTCTTCTGTTTCCTAGTGGTCAAAACTGTAAATGCACTTTTAATTACGACTAAATCAGGTAATACTGAAGAACCTATCCCATGGTATGATATGTAAAGCTCCATAGAAGGACATCAATTATCTCAGTGATATAAACAGAGCTAAACATGGGTTATGCTGACACCAAAAACATCTTGGAGGAGGATGATGATGCAAACACAGCCTCCAGATTTTCCAATGAGAAGTGACCATGATTGCTACCATTCATTTTGACTTTCACCCAAAAAGATATTAATGGTCTTGGCTTCTATATTTATTATCAGAACACCTCCTGGAGTATCGTTTATTTAATCCAGTCAGAATCTGGCACACTGTAATTTGTGCCTTAATTGAGCGTACATTTTGTATTTTGGAGCGTCTCCAGTAGTGGTTAGGCCAGTAGTTGATTATTTTTGTCATTTTTGAGTGCACCCTTCACCTTAAGCATCGATATGGAACTCATGGAAAGAACTTCCCATGACAGCTTGATTAGGAAAACAAAATTCACATCAGAAAAAAAACGAGTCGATATATCCTGATGGAATAGTGCTTATGAGGACATGTTCCTTATGAGGGAAATGACACCCGCTGTTTCCATTTCACATAGATGTGTCAGCTGAGTCTACATGAGATAGCCTTACTCAAGAGTTATCTGGATGGGATCGCTCATCCAGAATTCCCAGGAGTCCACACACTGCAGACTAAAACGCAGCCTCCTGCTAATGCGACTGCCAGAACATCTCCCACCACAGCCAGCATCAAGTCAGTTCTCCGCAGACTCCAGATACAAGGTCAGAGTCTCCCTTACTGTGGCATCAGTCCAAAAGTTTGTTCCAACAAATTCCAAAATAAAACCAAATATTTACAATGGAGATTTCCCCTCCTTCAGGCCTTAGTTTTTTATTATTTACCCAATGTCTAAATCATAAATTGATTAATTTCTTCTTCTAAAGAAATTCCAGCCTTGTAGGCGTCAAAGAAGTTAATACAGTGCTACCAGCGAATAATAAGCCATGTTGACAACATGCACAGAACTTTATGGAAATTTCTCCCAGCACAAGATGTGTGTTTAAACAATGTGGTTGCCGTTCATGGAATACTGAGCTGAAAACCATCCAGAGGTCTTCTACTGCGGCACTGCATCAGTAAGGTCCTGCAATGCATTTAAAAAGTGCAGGAGATTCAATTAGCTGTATTTGTGTCATTTGTATATTAATCTATTCGACTCACGTGTTTGGCTTTGAAAAGAATAATGCTTTGGATGCTTTTTATTCACTCCCTGTCACTCTGTTTCTTTGGTCCTGTCTGGATGTGTTACTGCTATAGTGATTTCACTGGTAATTGACCACATTTCTGGCTGAGCACCAGCAACTCTCCAGCGGCTGGAAACTTGACTGCGAAAAGATAGCATCAACTTTCATTTGAGTGAACATGCCTGCTTCCAATGAGACATAGAGCACCTCTGTGGACCTTTGGGAGGACAACATATCTTTCAGTAAAGCCACTGAGCTCTGCCTTCCTGCCTCTTACCGTGATACTGGGTCAAGATGTCAAGGTTGTGATCACACAAACAGCCATTCATTCACCACTGTTCGAGTATAGAATAAATTAGCACGTTTGGATTTGGAAACGAAATAAAACGATGATTTAATGTAGGTCGTTTAAACTCTTTTGAAGCAGCAGTCTCAAAGTTTCCAGTTGTTGTTGGAACGAGGCAAAATATAACTAACAATTAGAGTGCTGTCATTATACTGCAAAGTTACAAGAGGAAAGAAAGAAAGTCTGATTCAAGCATTAGTACAACACCAGCATTTAAAGATGCACACCGTATACAGACGCACACACACATAAACAATACCACACACATGTATAAACACCTTTCGCTCACCTAACTGCTGGCTGCAGATCCAGAGCAGGAGGAAGCGGTAGTACTCCATATGTTTGCCGGTGCAAGCGTGCATGTGATGTTGTGCGAGTGATGACTGCCGCGAGTGTGTGTGTGTGTATGTGTGTGTGTGGTGTGGGCCGAGAAGCAGAGACCCAGTGGCAGGCACAGTTAAAGATCCCACTCTGATTGACTCCGAGTCTCAGTTAAAGCGCTGCCTATATCTTGGGGGAGTAGGAGGGGACTGAAGGAGAAGAAGGAGGTCCACTCTGACACAGCAGGCAGCAATACTCTGTCTCTCACACACGCTCATTCAGCTCAGTTCGACGGGCTGGACGCTTGTAAATAAATCAACGTTTTCTGTAGTAGACACTTCTGCCTTGGACATTTATAAGGACAAACATTTAAAGGGAATAAGTGGTTGAGCTCTTGATGTGTGCAGGAGTTTAAATATACCCACTTTTTCTAATAAAAAAAGATAGAAAACAAACTAAAGAAATTAAATAAAACGTAACAAGAGAAAATTCTGATTATTACTTAATTACAACCTGATAGCACGAATGGCTACGTAGCATTAAACAAACAACACATAAAGACACAAGCACATGCAACACATTAGTCACACTAGCAGGGTCACCATAATTTCTAAAGATATTTAGTAAAACCTAATAGTAATCTAAAAAAAATCTCATCCAGCGAATCGTCTCCTTTCAGACTCAAGCTATGCGCCACAAAATGCTATCATCATGGCACAACCACAAACTAACCAGAGTATTAACAGTGGAACGCAAATGGGTGGTTTGCATGTTACCTCATATCCTCGCAGTCGAACCATCCAGTCCTAACTACAGAATGTATAATGATCCCATTTACGTAATAGGACATAGTTTGTGTACATTAGCTCTCCTGAAATCAATTTGCGGTCACCTGGGCGATCTCCACTTCGCTGCTTAACCACTGCGTGTCACATAAATGAACATCTTTTCTTTACAGAGGCCACATTTTCACTTTGGGTTGGAAAAT